GCATGGTATATGAGACACATTACTCCTTCAAGTACCAGCGAATCGAAACACTAGAAATCAATTGTTACTGCGGTCATAAGCAACCGCTTAGGGTTGCACGAGTTAATGCGCTTACTAGAATCATAGATGCCATTCCAAGATCTGCAGACTTCCTCGTCTTTCACTCTCCTATCATTAATAAGAGAGAGAGAGAGAGGTGACTACAATTGCCGCATCATGACCCATTGTTGCTTGCGCGGGTTGTGCCGACTGCATTTCGACTACTTTATAAACACTACCACCGACTCTATTTCACTAACGCATTTTATTTAAATTACATTTCGTGCTATTGTCTAGTTTTTTGATATAATAACTTCCTTCTTTAAAAGACGAGTAGCATGTTTTTTTTTTTTGGTAAAGCTTAAATGTGCTGAACTGATTTTCTTTTGATAATCTTGATGATTTCGACCCAGTGGTTGTATTCGGCTACTACGAGCGAAGAAAAAAATATTATGCAATAGTAGTATTTTTTGTTTTAATTCACGCTTCGTCTTAATATATTTTAAGTGACGCTATGATTTTTTGTAGTTCATAATTATTGTAATATTAATTTTTCCTCATAAATGTTAATTTTGAAATGGTTTATGTAATTCTATTGCAATAAAAATGTGGATTTATAATTTTATTATTTTAATGTATTTTTTTTCTAGATTTAAAATAGTCTCTTATTAGTATAAAATCGACCATCGACTTGCTCAAAGATAAAGACAAATATTTTAAGATCTCTTTAACACATGTTGTCTTTAATATTAAATAACTTGCTATGCAGTTAAGGGTTGTGCATTTCGATTTGTTTTTTTTTTCTGAAGCAAAAATATTAATACAAAATATTAATAAATAAAACTTATCTTCCAATACACAATAACACTGCAATGTTAAAATACTATTTTAGTAGTAATTAAAACCTAAAGAAGAGTGGCAACCCTAAACAAGTATTGCGATTGACTTTACAAATCGCACGAGCAATTAGTTGAATATGTTGTTTTCCTGTGTAAGTAAATGTCTTCTATAGAGATGTCAAGTGTGAATTTTTATTAATAAAGATTTTATTTTTAATAAGCTTTTCTAACGCGTTTCTTTTCGTTATCCTACACAACTCCCCATTTTTTGACGTGACCGAACTAGACATATTTTGTTTGACTATCTTGTTTTTTTTATGATTGTGTGAAAGTCACATTGACTTTCCGATAAAAATACGTATAATGAATGCCAAAAGTTCAAAATAAAAATTGAAATAATTAATAAAATTCTATATAGTAAATCGTAAACACCCTAATATACCTACTAATTATAGTAAAGAATACTATAACCCATATTGATTAGAAGTTCGGAGGTCACAGATAAATGCGCGTGAGCATTAACGCTCAAAACCAATTACAGTGCGCGCTAAAATGTATCGCGGGGCGGTACACTTGGTTCTAATTATTTCGATTTGTGTCAAAGTGTCAGTGTCACAGCCTAAATACATTCCTGGCAGTGTCAAAGAGGATTTGAAGGTGCACCAAGACAAGGATGACGGCAAGAGCAGCCTGGTGTTTGTTTTTGATACAACTGGGTCCATGTACAATGATTTGAGGCAGCTAAGAGAGGGTGCTGAGATGATAATGGATACTGCTTTGGAGGAGAGCAAGATTATAGCCGATTTCGTGTTTGTACCCTTCCATGATCCTGGTAAGAGAGTTATATGATCAAGTATTTATTTGGCTGACATTAATATCTACATAACTTTCTGACCAACCTATTGGAGTCCACTGCTGGATGTAGGCCTTCAAATCTCCACCAATCTTAATTTTCTAAAAAAAAACCGAGTAAAAAAATTTGGTACCTAACTGTGTACCTACTAGAAACATTGACGCAAACAATAATGTTAAAAGTGTCATAAACCGATAACCTGAAAAAAGTTTGAATCGGAGATGTTTGTTTATTTCGAAATTAATTCATGCTCTAAGTATTACCTCCACAACAGGGATCAATAAGATTTTTACCGGTGGAAGGCCACATTATTGAAAACCGCTGGAAGCTGAAACTCAAAAGAGTGTAGAAATATTTATTCGTACATTGTAGTTTCTAAAATATAAGTAGGACTTCGAGCGAAGTCTAGATAATTAATAAAATAAAAAATAATCCATTAACTAATGGATAAGAATTAATGTCAGGGTTGAGTTGCGATGGAGACGCGGAAACTGCAATATCAAATAATAATAACAAAGTGCAGTTGTGTAACCTTTCATATCTATTTCAATGTCTATGAGTATTTAATAATTATGTCCTTACTTCCCACATGAATCAAAACATGTGTCAATGCGATAACGTTTTAATTATCGTGCTTAAGTAGGTAGGTACCTTTTATTTTATTTATCGGGAATTCCCAGTTTTTTATTGCCTACTACTCATGTTTACTACTGTAATTTGAGGTTTCCACAAATACTTTGAGTTGTCAGGATTTTTACTTATTTAATTGTGCAGTCTTGATGATAACCATTTTTTATACTTACACAATATTCAACAGATTTGTCCTTTTTGTTATGAATTAAAAAAACGGTTCTTTTTTCTTCGTTTAATTTCTTGGCCCATTCAATAGGCGTAGGTCCAGCCACAGTGACCCGTCGCAAAGGTGTGTTCAAAGCGGCTCTAAACATAGTCCGTGTGTACGGAGGCGGGGACTGCCCGGAAAAGTCATTGAGTGGTATCCAGCTGGCTCTCAACGTGAGCAGACCGCGGTCTTTTGTGTACGTGTTCACCGATGCCACGGCCTCTGACCATAGACTCGTGGGGAATGTGCTGGATTTGGTGCAGAGGAAACAGAGCCAGGTAAGCGTGGAGGGAGAATAGTAAGTAGATTGCTTAGTAGATATAGCTTAGCTTAGAAAGTATTGTAGTCAGCTATGGCTGAAACTCAGTAGAGCGAAGTAATAGATTTATGAGAATCCATGGAGTAGGCAAACAGATCGAAGTGAGCTATTTATGGGGCGAGTATATTGTACGACCCGTTCGAGTTAACTGCTCACTTGGCGGCCGTGACGTCACATCGACGTTCTGGTACGGAACGGGCGAACGCGGGGAGGTGTGAGGGACAGTCGCACTTCAGCGAGGTGCGCAGTTAACTTGATTGGATTGTAGTCAACTTTGCTCTCACTCGCTTCTCTTAAAACACTAATACTTCATTACTTTTTCAGGTGGTATTTGTCCTCACAGGGCATTGTAATGATCTTCAGAAGCCTACTTATCTAGTCTATCAGCAAATCGCAGCCGCTAGCTCAGGCCAAGTGTTCAACCTGAACAAAACCAGCGTTCATAAGGTATATTTTATACTTAATTCCCAGATGTGGTTTCCTAAGATGCCCTTAAAAAATACTTTGACTGCGAGACTAAAAGAAATAAGATAATCTTGATCACACTCCATACCTACTATCTAATTTTTTGCGCCAAAGGATTTAAAGCCTGCATTAAATCAAAAAGAAAACCAGCATACGTACCAGAAGCGTAACCCTGGTTGCAGAAAATTATTTGTGTTCCAGGTGCTCGACTTCGTTAGAAGTTCAATAAGGGGTAGAAATGTAAACCTCGGTTCTTCCGTCAATCCACCTGGATATAATCACACACAGGAGGTAATTTTATAACTACCTACGTAAGTTCAATGATAACTGGTGTGAAACTTTTGCAAATTGTATAATGTTTCTAGATTCCAGTGGATAATACTTTAGGGGAAGTAACAGTATCAGTATCTGGAGCCAAGCCAAGTATTAAAGTGATCGATCCTAAAGGAGAAGAACTCACTGGGCCACCGAAGCTTATCACCACTTTGGACCTTTCCGAAATTATGGTAAGCGTGTGTTATGTTCAAGTTACTCAATATGTTACATTTCAAAATGAGGAATGCAATTTATAATCAAGGGAAACCTGTCATTGGCTATACTATCAGTCATAACTAACTAAACGTTATAACTACGTTATAACTAACATTTTCAATGTATCGTTTTTGCTTTCTATAAATAGATAAATAGTCGAGTTCTGGTGAGTGCAAAACGTGAATAGTCCTGATACCTAGTTGGCGCCACTCTTACCTACTAGTGAGTGATAGAACTTGACTACAGTGGCGGTGACTGCTTGTTTTGTTTACGCCAGAACTGGCCACTGGAACTGAACAACGGTCCACAAAGTTACCTTCTTACTGAATTTCGCCAAAGTTACGTTAATATCTACTTACACGATTAAAATATAATAAAGCCAATTCGAAAATCGTCTGTGCTTAAAAATCTTTTATATGGTACAGGTAGTTAAAGTAATGCAGCCAGAACCGGGAAACTGGACGATTACAGTGGGGAGTGAGGAGGAGTATTCCGTGAGGGTAGTAGGGCTGTCCAACCTCACGTTCACCCACGGCTTCTCTGTATCTCCGCCAGCGGACTTGCACGAGACCAGCTACCGGCCTCTGAAGAGTAAGTTCTTTATCATCATCATCATCATCATCAACAGCCCTTTACAGTCCATTGCTGGACTATGAGCCTCCTCCACTATAGTGGAGAGTTATGCCATAGTCCCTACGCTTGGTGAGTTCTTTATATTCGCATTAGAAACTAGTTTCTAGAACAGCTAGCCATTGGAGTAGAAACGTTGGGGCGGTTGTGCACCTGGTGATGTAATTTAGGCAGGCCTTCTAGATGGACTAACGACGTGATGAAAATTGCGGGAGGCGCCTGGATGGGGGCGGCGTAGGATCTACCGATGCGGAAATCCTTGAGCTGTGGTGTGGACGTCTTTCGACTTGCAGTAGGCGTGAGTTACACTTATGGTAAAAGTAATGCAAGCCAGAGCCGGACAACTGGACGATTACGGTGGGGAGTGAGGAGGAGTATTCCGTGAGGGTAGTGGGGCTGTCCAATCTCACATTCACCCACGGCTTCTCTGTATCGCCGCCGGCTGACATACGCGAGACCANTATTATTGTCATGTTGTTCCAGTGCCATATCCCACAAGGAGTTCCGCTTTGTACTGCCTCTGCTTCCCATATTCCTGTACCTCGCCCAAGACTTCATCGTCCCTTGGAGCAGAAAGGCTAAGAAGTGAGTATTTATTTTATCTTATATATATAAAAGAAAGTCGTGTTAGTTACTTCGCTTATAACTCAAGAACGGCTGAACCGATTTAGCTGAAAATTGTCAGGGAGGTAGTTTAGAGCCAGGAGAAGGACATAGGATACTTTTTATCCCGTTCGAAATTAAAAAAAAAAGTCTGCTTATTTATTGCCATTAAGGCGGAACAAAGTTCGCCGGGTCAGCTAGTTATTATTAAAAGTGGTAAGCATTGTATTACTTTTTAGTGGAAAAAGTCATACAATGCTTACTACTTGTAATTGCGATTTTAATGCCCGTTTTCACCATCAATCCCTAATTTTTAAATGACTCCTATGAAAACAAAATTCCTGTTATGTGGCACCATAGGGGGTCACCTAAAAATTAGAGATTGTTGGTGAAAACAGGCATAAGACTTTCGATAGTAATTTCAGATTTTATTACGTACCAGGGGTGTCCATTCAAATCTAATAAATAAGGCATGAAACAAAAAAGTTTCAAGACCTCTGGATTTAACTACGATCACAATAGCTCATCAAAGAGTTTGGCAATTTATCATACATTTCTCTGTCACTCTTCTCTTTAGGAGGAAACCCCTCTCTTATTTACCAGAGGCAAATGGAAGACTTGGTCTACACTCTCCATTCTGGCCAGAAGGGTTGATTATGCTATCATACACATCCTCTTTCAAATACCCCAAAGATTTAGCAACAATTATTGCAATGGCGAGTATGTTTGGTTCTAAAATATATTAATCTATGTGTATGTTTGGTTTTAAAATATCTACTAGTATCTTAATATGTAAGTCTAGATATCCCACCAAAAACATTCTGTAAAAAACTAGCCAAGTCTCGATGAAGCTGCTTGTTTATCTCTAAAAAGTAATGAAATCTAGACAAAGTCGTGCCAAGTCTATGGTTCTTTACTGCGATTTCTTTATTATTATAGTTAATGTTGTGTGACTTGGCCGTTGAAGGGTACAAAACCAGGTGCTCCATGACACCATTGCACCAATCTGTTGCCAGAACCGCTACCCATTGACGATGGAAAATTGCCACTTGGAAAACGTTGATTTAATAACCAGTCAGTTGTAGGCTTAATAAAGCTGCGTATTTCAATAATACTTATGCATAATTATTGATTATCTAATAAAGATTGTTCAACGGCCAAGTCACACAACATTAACTATAATAATAAAGAAATCGCAGTAAAGAACCATAGACTTGGCACGACTTTGTCTAGATTTCATTACTTTTTAGAGATAAACAAGCAGCTTCATCGAGACTTGGCTAGTTTTTTACAGAATGTTTTTGGTGGGATTTCACTCCTTTTTGTAGAATGTGGCATAATTATTTAACGTCGTCGTCCTTTAATATTATCGACATTTTTTTTTACGATATTAAACATAGCGACCTTTAAAATGGACAACGAATCAGAATTGTTTTAATAATAACTTAACCTTAGCGAACCTCACGGAGTCACGATATAATAAACGAAATCAACCAAATTCAAATTACACAACATTCAATTTAATCGACGGGGGGGTCTAGAAAGGAAAAAAAATCTGGACACCGCGGTGCAGAAAATCGACGCTCAAAGTGCTAGCGCCATCTAGCGGTGAGTGGTACAGGCGAACACCACGGTGCCGGTGTGGCGCTAGTAGTATTGATTATGAATGTGGTGTTACTCCAGATCTTCGATTTTCCTAGTTTTTATAGTTTTCCCTTTATGTGGCCATTAAACCCTAACTCTGTACCAAATTTCAGCTCTCTGAGTTAATGGGAAGTACTAGTTCTATTTTGATGATCATCAGTGAGTGAGTGTCATAAATGCGAAACTTTGCTTTCGCTTAACTTCGGAACTAAATGACCTACAGACTTGAAATTTTGGATTTTAACTATGTGATCATAGCTTACTAGATGACGAAAATTTCTGCGTTCTAGTATTATCCAGAGGTTCTCAAATAGGGGCCTGAAAATGCGGCGAAATGGTTCCAGTAAAGGATGGTACGGCAGTGTTTGCTTCGCGCTCGACTTGGCGGGGGCACTGCCGTGCCCCCATATTAGCACGTCACTACCTTGTTTAATATACCACGCAATCTTGTATACCCATTCTTATAAGATACACCATACAAGAATGCATGGTAAATTCAGTGAACTGCTCCTGAATCGAATGTACCTACTACTACTATTTCTATTTATTTATATTAACCGGCAGACAGTGGTGACTGAGTTTGTTGCGGCGCTTCTTCTCAGCACTTGGCAAATGTTGGTCTCGAAGCGCTGGTAGGGTAAAAAGATTATGAGACATGTAGAGGCTCCTTAAGAGCAAAATGACGATTTGTAAGAACTATTTATTAGTCTAAACAAATAAAGAAATTTTGACTTTGACTTTGAATCATCTTTAATTTATTATCATCTTAGGTGGCAGCTGTACGTGCTAACTGGATCCATCCTGATCGGGAATGTGGTCCCGGCGCTATACTTCGGCGTGGTGCACCAAGCCGGCACGCTCAAGGTCATGCCGCTGCTGCGAGAAGCCATCCCCAGCAACAAGAGTTCCGTCCTGTTCCTGATGCCTTGCCACTCCACGCCTCTGTATAGGTGAGGATTGAGATTGTAACATGAAACCAGTGTCTAAATACGATTTAAGTAGTAATGTCATCATCATCATTTCAGCCATAGGACGTCCGCTGAACATAGTCCTCCCCAATGACTTCCACATCGCATGGTTGGTAGCGGCCTGCATCCAGCGCCTTCCTGCTACCTTTATCAGGTCGTCGGTCCACCTTGTGGGTGGACGTCCCACGCTGCATTTTCCGGTACGCGGCCTCCACTCCAGAAGCCGTCAGTTCTGCGTACTATGTGCCCTGCCCATTGCCACTTCAGCTTGCTAATCCGTCGGGCTATGTCAGCGACTTTAGTTCGTTTACAGATCTCCTCATGAAGTAGTAATGTAATGAATGATAAAAATCTCCCCACACTACTTTACTCATTATGTGTTGGACCAGTGGCGTTGGGATCAATGCTAGAGCCAACTACCTCTCGTCCAAAGTGTGGATCTAGAAAATATTGGCACCATCATTGAGGGAAGCCTGATGTTTGCACCCTAGTCGAATTTTACGAAATCAGTTCACAATTTTTCCTTGTAGACACTTCAATTAATATTATTTATTCTCCTTTTTCCAGCCACCTTCACCAGAACGTAACCACCCGCTACCTCAACTGCGACCCGCCGTTCAACAAGGTCGGCGAGACGTACGAAGCAGAATACTTCTTCAACAACCCGCAACGCTGGTGGCGGTCGGAATACGCTGCCAAGGCCACCCCGCAGTTTGTGGTGCTGTTCGACACGCTCAAGGGACGAGTAGAGAACGCTCTGCAAGGATACAAGCAGCTGTATGAGATACCGCATACACAGGTGAGGTTAATTATGTCGGTGAGACGTATGAGGTAGAGTTCCTCAACAACCCGCAGCGCTGGTGGCGGTCGGAATACGGCTAAGGCCACGCCGCAGTTTGTGGTGCTGTTCGACACGCTCAAGGGACGTGTTGAGAACGCTCTCCAAGGTATGAGTATGAGATACCGCATACACAGGTAAGTTAATAACGTAACGCTGCTCCGAGTCATCAGCAAATAATATAATCATAAAGATCTTTTACAAAGTAGGTCATTAATATAAATAAGAAATAGCACAGGTCCTAATATTAATCCTTGCGGCACACCCATAAATTAAAGGTGCTCCAGAAACTCTGTTCTGTTAATACAAATTTTTTGCTTTCTGCCCGTGAGATACGGTTCAACAGATAAAAATGTCGCAATTTTTTAGTAAGTTTTGGTGGTCTACACGATCAAACGCTTTTGAAAGATCACAAGAAATACAGTTTCCATCCACTGCTTTAAACCTACCAATTTAAAACTTGTTTAGAAAGGCCTTTAACATAATGATTTTTTCCCCAGTTCCCGGAAGGCGAGGTGGGTGAAAAAGTGCTTGTTTACAAGAAGATTCAGAGCCAACCTAAGCCCGCGGCCGACGACGCGCTGTAGGACCACTGTTAGTACGCTTACCTTACACGTATCTTCCATTTGCGAGGCGAATTCCCAAAGGACAATATGACAGCATACATGAGACAAGATTTTATAAATGCATCCTGTTTTCTGACGTTTGTAGGAAAAACCTAATGTCATAGACTAAAGAAGATGTAAATATCTTTATTAGAATTTAATTTAGTAATTTGTGCCAAATATCTATTACATTTTGCCTAGAGAGACGTACTCCTGCAGTGGAGACTAATAAATCACCTTATGATTTTGTGTCTTATGGGAATTCGCCTTGATTTATCCACAATTTCTTCTCGAATCTGCGTTTTTATTTCGACGCCGCCATTACGCATCATCAAGAGAACGGGTTTGTTTATTAAAATGTCTCGATCGATATTATGCACTTATTTAGTGCGTAAAAACCGACTAATGGAATAAAAATAATTCAATTTAGGATTTATAAGAAATACACACAATTAATAATGCAATTTTACAGAAATGTAACGATTTTAAATTCCATTTTTTCACAATAGAAACGAACAATCTTTACCATAATGCATTTCATAATGATGTTGGACTCCTTAGTTGGAAATAGGTTGTAAGTAAATTAAATTATTATTAAGATCGACTTGTGGGAATGTTGCCCCATTAATAACATGTGTTCGATTCAAATATACATTATTTAAAATGTATTTATGAATAATATATTAATACATTTACATTGTTAGGTTTAAATTGATGTATTGATTTAATCATCGATTACGATTTAATTACAAATTCGATTATGACTTTTTTGAAACAGAATTCATAGTAGTAAACAAAATGTATGCAGTTTTTGATAATTTAACTTCACCCTCCTAATTTCAAAATAATTTGTCCCATTCGGTCGTAACTACAGTCATTGATGGTATTGTAGGGTAGTTAGGGTAATAATTGGCATAGTTGTAAAGGTGTTTAAAATTACTTTTAATTTTATTAATTTAGCTATCATCTACCATTTAGAACCTTAGTCTTTTTGAAATGGTTAAATGTTTTTATTACAAGCATTTCAGTTTGTAATTCTGTTCTGTCATTAAAATTAAGCTGTGTATTGTACACAGTTTAAATCCCATGTTTGTGCGTGTTTGTATTTCAAAATAATATCACTGTCCGCCATTTTTCATCTTTCGCCGTGAATCCATGACTGAGATTTTCACGCAAGTACAAATTATATATATTTTTACATAGTTTTTATACACTTGCCAAAGTTAGTTATTTATTTTTAAATACTAACGTAACATATCGTATATAATGTAAATGCAGGTTAACGGAAATAAGCTAAGGCTGAGTGTATCTTAATATACAATCTGCGCAGGTTCAATTGAGGCTGATGTGGCGACTTTTGACGCACGTAGGCGGTTTACTGCTTGACTGCATGGTATATACGGGACTATTCCCACCTCTCGTTCCCACCGCTGCAACTCCTGTGTAGCCAGGATCTACAGCTTGACCACAACAAAAACCCAACCAATGAAGGTCAAGTATGTCCCGGGGGAAAGTTAAGCTGTTGGACCCGCAACGAAATGGTATGGCATGGTATATGAGACACATTACTCCTTCAAGTACCAGCGAATCGAAACACTAGAAATCAATTGTTACTGCGGTCTTAAGCAAACGCTTAGGGTTGCACGAGTTAATGCGCTTACTAGAATCATAGATGCCATTCCAAGATCTGCAGACTTCATCACCTTTCACTCTTATCATTAATAAGAGAGAGAGAGAGAGGTGACTACAATCGTCGCATCATGACCCATTGTTGCCTGCGCGGGTTGTGCCGACTGCATTTCGACTACTTTATAACTACCACCGACTCTATTTCACTAACGCATTTTATTTAAACTACATTTCGTGCTATTGTCTAGTTTTTTGATATAATAACTTCCTTCTTTAAAAGACGAGTAGCATGTTTTTTTTTAGATGTGCTGACTGGATTTTCTTTTGATAATTTTGATGTTATCGACCCAGTGGTTGTATTCGGCTACTACGAGCGAAGAAGTAAATATTATGCAATAGTAGTATTTTTTTGTTCTAATTCACGCTTCGTCTTAATATATTTTAAGTGATGCTATGATTTTTTGTAGTTCATAATTATTGTAATATTAATTTTTCCTCATAAATGTTAATTTTGAAATGGTTTATGTAATTCTATTGCAATAAAAATGTGGATTTATAATTTTATTATTTTAATGTATTTTTTCTAGATTTAAAATAGTCTCTTATTAGTATAAAATCGACCATCGACTTGCTCAAAGATAAAGACAAATATTTTAAGATCTCTTTAACACATGTTGTCTTTAATATTAAATAACTTGCTATGCAGTTAAGGGTTGTGCATTTCGATTTGTTTTTTTTTTTTTTTCAAAAAATATTAATACAAAATATTAATAAATAAAACTTATCTTCCAATACACAATAACACTGCAATGTTAAAATACAATTTTAGTAGTAATTAAAATGTAAAGAAGAGTGGCAACCCTAAACAAGTATTGCGATTGACTTTACAAATCGCACGAGCAATTAGTTGAATATGTTGTTTTCCTGTGTAAGTAAATGTCTTCTATAGAGATGTCAAGTGTGAATTTTTATTAATAAAGATTTTATTTTTAATAAGCTTTTCTAACGTGTTTCTTTTCGTTATCCTACACAACCCTCTATTTTTTAAACGTGACCGAACTAGACATTTGTCTATCTTGTGTTTTTTACGATAGTGTGAAAGTCACATTGACTTTCCGATAAAAATACGTATAATGAATGCCAAAAGTTCAAAATAAAAATTGAAATAATTAATAAAATTCTATATAGTAAATCGTAAACACCCTAATATACTAATTATAGTAAAGAATACTATAACCCATATTGATTAGAAGTTCGGAGGTCACAGATAAATGCGCATGAGCATCTACGCTCAAAACCAATTACAGTGCGCGCTAAAATGTATCGCGGGGCGGTACACTTGGTTCTAATTATTTCGATTTGTGTCAAAGTGTCAGTGTCACAGCCTAAATACATTCCTGGCAGTGTCAAAGAGGATTTGAAGGTGCACCAAGACAAGGATGACGGCAAGAGTAGCCTGGTGTTTGTTTTTGACACGACTGGGTCCATGTACAATGATTTGAGGCAGCTAAGAGAGGGCGCTGAAATGATAATGGATACGGCTTTGGAGGAGAGCAAGATTATAGCCGATTTCGTGTTTGTGCCCTTCCATGATCCTGGTAAGAGGGTTATATGATCAAGTACCTATTTATTTGGCTGACTTATTTCCTGATAAACCTATAGGAGTCCACTGCTGGACATTAATGCCCGTTTTCACCATCAAGCCCTAATTTTTAAGTGACCCATATGAAAACAAAATGCCTGATAAGTGTTGCCATAGGGGTCACTTAAAAATTGGGGATTGATGGTGAAAACAGGCATAAGTCTCCTCCAAATCCCTACAAATTTTAATTTTCTCAAAAAGTAGAGTTAAAAAAAAATTGGTGCCTGTGTACCTACTAGAAACATTGACGTAAACAAGATTGTTAAAAGTGTCATAAACCGATAACCTGAAAAAGTATGAATCGAAGATGTTTGTTTATTTTGAAATTAATTCATTCTCTAAGCATTACCTCCACAGGGATCAATAAGTATGTATTGTAAATTTCTTACCGGCGCGGTGGAAGGCCACATTATTGAAAACCGCTGGAAGCTGAAATTCGAAAGTGTGTAGAAATATTTATCCTAGACTGCATCCCACTTAACATCAGGTGCGATTGTGGTCAAATAAATGCCTTGTTATGCATAAAAAAAAGTTTCTAAAATATAAGTAGGACTTCGAGCGAAGTCTACATAATTAATAAAATAAAAAATAGTCCATTAACTAATGGATAAGAATTAATGTCAGGGTTGAGTTGTGATGGAGACGCGGAAACTGCAATATCAAATAATAATAACAAAGTGCAGATGTGTAACCTTTGATATCTATTTCAATGTCTATGAGTATTTAATATTGTAATTATGTCCTTACTTCCCACATGAATCAAAACATGTGTCAATGCGATAACGTTTTAATTATCGTGCTTAAGTAGGTAGGTACCTTTTATATTATTTATCGGGAATTCCCAGTTTTTTGTTGTACTACTGTAATTTAAGGTTTCCACAAATACTTTGAGTTGTCAGGATTTTTACCTAATTATACATTCATGATGATAATAATTTATCTTATATACCTACACAATATTCAACAGATTTGTCCTTTTTGTTATGAATTAAAACAGCGGTTCTTTTTTTCTTCGTTTAATTTCTTGGCCCATTCAATAGGCGTAGGTCCAGCCACAGTGACCCGTCGTAAAGGTGTGTTCAAAGCGGCTCTAAACATAGTCCGTGTGTACGGAGGCGGAGACTGCCCGGAGAAGTCATTGAGTGGTATCCAGCTGGCTCTCAACGTGAGCCGACCGCGGTCTTTTGTGTACGTGTTCACCGATGCCACGGCCTCTGACCATAGACTCGTGGGGAATGTGCTGGATTTGGTGCAGAGGAAACAGAGCCAGGTAAGCGTGGAGGGAGAATAGTAAGTAGACTGCTTAGTAGATATAGCCAGAGTAAATACAAATGAGTAGGTCATCTTCATAGAAACGCACCGAGCGCGGTTTGTATGTGAGCGCGCGCCAATACGTATGCGGCGCGCACACACACACTGACAAAATTCGGTGCAACTCCCCGCTAATCCAATTTTTAATTAAATTTTGTTTGTGTGTGCGTGCGCGCCGCATACATATTGGCGCGCTCACATACAAACCGCGCTCGGGCGTTTCTATGAAGATGACCTACTCATTTGTATTTACTCTGATATAGCTTAGAAAGTATTGTAGTCAGCTATGGCTGAACATCAGTAGAGCGAAGGAATAGATTTTTGAGGATTGGTCATAGATTAAGGGAAAAAGACCCAAGTGTACAAACCCGTAGAGTTAACTGCGCACCTGGCGGCCGTGACGTCACATCGACGTTCTGGTACGGACGGGGCGAACGTGGAGAGGTGCGCAGTGTGCTTACTATGAGTTTACGTTAGGTGAGCTCGCTAGCGAATACGTCAAAAAATTCTATGAAGATTTTATTTTTTGAAAGTAGCCGCTAGGGCGCTGCACAATATGTCATACATTTAAATGTCATTTTTTACGCAATCGCTAGCGAGCACACCTAACGTAAACTCATGGTAAGCACACAGTTAACGTGATTGGGTTGTAGTTACGGGGATGAGTGTGTTGTGGTCAGCTTGGCTCTCGCTTGCTTACAAGTACAACGTTATTTATCATCATAATTACGTTTCAGGTGGTATTTGTCCTCACAGGGCATTGCAATGATCTCCAGAAGCCTACTTATCTAGTTTATCAGCAAATCGCAGCCGCTAGCTCAGGCCAAGTGTTCAATCTTAACAAAACCAGCGTTCATAAGGTATATTTTATGCTTAATTCCCAGATGTGGTTTCCTGAGTTGCCCTTAAAAATACTTTGACTGCGAGACTAAAAGAAATAAGATAATCTTGATCACACACCATACCTACTATCTAATTTTTTGCGCCAAAGGATTTAAAGCCTGCATTAAATCAAAAAGAAAACCAGCATATTTTTAAAAGCGTAACCCTGGTTGCAGAAAATTACTTGTGTTTCAGGTGCTCGACTTCGTTAGAAGTTCAATAAGGGGTAGAAATGTAAACCTCGGTTCTTCCGTCAATCCACCTGGATATAATCACACACAGGAGGTAATTTTATAACTACCTACGTAAGTTCAATAATAACTGGTGGGAAACTTTTGCAAATTGTATAATGTTTCTAGATTCCAGTGGATAATACTTTAGGGGAAGTAACAGTATCAGTATCTGGAGCCAAGCCAAGTATTAAAGTGATCGATCCTAAAGGAGAAGAACTCACTGGGCCACCGAAGCTTATCACCACTTTGGACCTTTCCGAAATTATGGTAAGCATGACTATGACAGTAATGTACTCAATATGACACATTTAAAAATGAGAAATGCAATCTATAGTTGAGTTTCTGGTAAGTGCGAAATGCGAATATCCTGATACCTAGGCGCCACTAGTTACAGACAGGACCTTAATGGCACCACAGTAGAATATAAGATCCTATCATTCGCCAGTATTGAAATGATTGACCTTTATATCTAGGTCCTTTTGCTTTAAACTTTGAAAATTATAACTTTTCTTAAATGTGTTATGTCAAGAGAAATAGCAAGAGACCCGTCGCTGCTTCTGCTTCGATTGTTTATCGCCAGAACTGGCCACTGGATTTGTATAACGCACAAAGTAATCTTCTCATTGAATTCCGCCAAAGTCACCTTAAAATAGAGCCAACACAAAAATAGTAGAAAAACCGAGACTTTTTTGGTACAGGTAGTAAAAGTAATGCAGCCAGAACCGGGAAACTGGACGATTACAGTGGGGAGTGAGGAGGAGTATTCCGTGAGGGTAGTGGGGCTGTCCAATCTCACATTCACCCACGGCTTCTCTGTATCGCCGCCGGCTGACATACGCGAGACCAGCTACCGGCCGCTGAAGAGTAAGTTCTTTATATTCGCATTAAAAACTAGTTTCTAGAACAGCTAACCTATGAAATTGGAGTAGAAACGTTGGGGCGGTTGTGCACCTGGTGATTTGATTTAGGCAGGCTTTCTAGATGGACTATCGACCTGATGAAGATTACAGGAGGCGCCTGGATGGGGGCAGCGTAGGATCTATCGATGCAGAAATTCTTAGGCTGTGGTGTGGACGTCTTTCGACTTGCAGTAGGGCGTAAGTTACACTATATGGTAAAAGTAATGCAACCAGAGCCGGGCAACTGGACGATTACAGTGGGGAGTGAGGAGGAGTATTCCGTGAGGGTAGTGGGGCTGTCCAATCTCACATTCACCCACGGCTTCTCTGTATCTCCGCCGGCAGACTTGCGCGAGACCAGCTATCGCCCTCTAAAAAGTAAGTTTCATAAAATCTATTCATAGAGCAAATAATATTCATAGCCCGTAGAACGGATAACCATTGGGGCATAAACGTATTCCAATGCTTCATTTGGGGCATATACCTACAATTTGTTACTTGTCTAGAACCATCTAATATCCCCGCCTGTTTTACCTTCATCATAGGTGTCGTCATAGTAACATAAAGTGGCTATGTGGGTCGCGTAGCATCTTGCTATTTGAATTTAACATTTTTAAAACTCTTATATCCGTAACCGGAACTATCCGAAACTTTCGGATAGTTCGAAATGATTTCATATCCGTAACCGAAACCGATATAATATTCTAATATCCGTAACCGTATCCATGACGGAAACTTCATATGCTTAACATCCCTGCTTATGACCCGTCCCACCTGGGACTTAAATCCTGGAACATAACATAACACTGAATCTAAATAAGTTTGTCGAATATATTTGTGCATTAATATCTCTTTATTTTAGGTACATACAACCACCTAATGATCTCGCTGACCCAACCAGAAGCGCCGGCGACCATAGACTACGCGGAAATACTGGATCTCACCGGGAAGACGTTATTCGAAGTGCCGTTGCGCGAAGTTGACCATTTGAATAAGACCTACGTAGCTGAACCTTTCATACCACCCGAAGAATTCTTTTACATTGCTGTAAGGTCTTGCTTCTTTGGTCATTTATTAAACCTCGATAACTGAATACTTATGATGCTTTTTATGGACCAGATTAATGGACATGACGGCAACAATCAAGAGCTGAGGAGAATAGGTGCCACTGCTGTTCAAGCGAAACTGCCAGGTATTGAAAAACGTGGATTTTGAAAAATATAGTGAATATAGTTTCCTTCCAAAAAGTAATTTTCTTAGTCTAGCTGTTGCAGGCAGTTTCGTATTTAATTATATTGTACTTTATTTGCAGATGTTCCTTACCTGACTGCACCTAGGAAGGTAAGTTTAGTCAAATTACCACAAACTATGAAATCCTTGAGACATTTCCTTGAATTTCTTAATTCATTAGTCATCTTTCCGTCTACTTACGCTGAGCACGTTGTAAATAATTACCTACTACAAATTGTGTGTTATCTTAATTGCATCGTATTTCAGCAATAGAATGAAACCTTGTTTGTGTACTCAATTATCATCCTGTGTTCGCAGGTGGAAGCCCGATACCACGAGCGAGTGGTGCTGACGTGTGGTGTAGAGAGCCTGGTACCGGTTACTGCGGCGTGGACGCACGGCTTCGAGAGGATACAGCCAAAGGTCTCTAGTCTGTGAGTATACTCTAATATTTGGTAGCGTTCGTTTAAGACAGATGACGTCCACTGCTGGCAAATGCCTTATTTAAGGATTTATGGATGATGATGGTCGTAGCCAGTCGTCTCGAGGAATCGAGTTGACATTGCCATTTTTACGTTTGAAAATGTATGGGGGGGAGTTTTTTGGATGTCGCCAGTTGAGGAGGGGCAGGTCTACTTACGAAATACAGATGACCAGTAGGCCTAAGATGCGCGCCGCGATAAGTGTTTATCACGCCATTTTATCGATGTCGCCCATACATTTGGACGTGGATATAAGTTATCGCGGCGCGCATCCTGGCCCGGCTGAGCAAGCGCAAAATTAGATGCATACGTGGGGTGACCATGCGAGCTTGGACGTTCGGTATTTGATTGCATTTACACTCAGCGCGCAGCGTATCAACCTGTCGCTATGTAGTCAAGCAGAAATATCGGACAAAATTAGTATTGAAAAGTAGACATTTTGCAGCAGACCCGAATTATCATGTCTTGGTATACATATTTCTCGTTGTTGACTCATTCCAGGCAAACCACATCAACGGACTACGTTATCGAGGATATGTCTCCAGAGTATGCGGGCGAGTACCGCTGCGTGGCCACCAACGCGGCTGGGCAGAGCGTGGCCCACACTGAGATAGAGCTTATAGGTACAATACTTAACGTTAAAGCCTGGTCCTTGAGCACGTAGAATTTTGTCCAATGACCCCAAGCTACCCATCCTTATCGCTCGCGCGTAATTATATTGCTGTCGCGACTGTGCGACGGGCGCCCGCAGTGAGTGTGCGAGCGCGACAGCAATATAATTACGCGCGAGCGATAAGGATGGGTAGCTTGGGGTCATTGGANTATATTCGCATTAAAAACTAGTTTCTAGAACAGCTAGCCATTGGAGTAGAAACGTTGGGGCGGTTGTGCACCTGGTGATGTAATTTAGGCAGGCCTTGTAGATGGACTAACGATCTCATGAAGATTGCGGGAGACGCCTGGATGGGGGTAGCGTAGGATCTATCGATGCGGAAATCCTTGAGCTGTGGTGTCTTTCGACTTGTAGTAGGCGTGAGTTACACTTTATGGTAAAAGTAATGCAGCCAGAACCGGGAAACTGGACGATTACAGTGGGGAGCGAGGAGGAGTATTCCGTGAGGGTAGTGGGGCTGTCCAACCTCACGTTCACCCACGGCTTCTCTGTATCGCCGCCGGCAGACTTGCGCGAAACCAGCTACCGGCCGCTGAAAAGTAAGTTTTATAAAATCTATTCATAAAGCAAAGAATGTTCATAGTCCGTAGAACGGATGACCATTGGAGCATAATATTCCACATATCGGCAGATGTATTGTAGGCTGGCCTCCCACTTAGTGGACCGAATAAAGGTATTAGGTAGGTCAGTAAAAGTTAGCAACTGAGACTGGATAGTCACAGAAACGAACTCGCCTTTCAACTGCAAAGAACGGACAGTCTCCACTTTACTGGACTGAAGAGACATAGCATTAAAAACCTAGCGAAAAGATACGCAGTGAAATAATAAGAGATGACTCACTGGACTAGTCTCTTATTGAACGCCTCAAGAACCGGATTGGAATCAGACAGATGATTGGATTATTGTTTCACGGAAACAGATTGCCAAGAAGCAGAATAGAAAAGGAAAAAAAAGGTAGGTCCACCCACCGGTCATGCTGATAAAGATTCCGGGTAATGCCTGGATACGGACAGCGCAGTCAACTTGTGAAATCCTTGGCAGAGTTCATTGTCTAGCTGTGCTATCCACAGCTAGACATTGGCCTCTGACAATGATACATTTTGGGTTGAAAGTGAAAAGAAGTACGACGGCATATGACCCGTCCCACCTGGGACTTAAATCCTGGATCGTTGAGGGTCTCACTCACTCTTAACACTGAATCTAAATACGTTTGTTGAATATACATATTTGTGATTTAATATCTCTTTATTTTAGGTACATACAACCACCTAATGATCTCGCTGACCCAACCAGAGGCGCCGGCGAACATAGACTACGCGGAAATACTGGATCTCACCGGGAAGACGTTATTCGAAGTGCCGTTGCGCGAAGTTGACCATTTGAATAAGACCTACGTAGCCGAACCGTTCATACCGCCCGACGAATTCTTTTACATTGCTGTAAGATCTTGTTTCGTTGGCCATTTATTAAACCTTATTGATAACTGAATACTTATGAGGTTTTTTGGACCAGATTAATGGACACGACGGCAACAATCAAGAGTTGAGGAGAATAGGCGCTACTGCTGTTCAAGCAAAACTGCCAGGTATCGTGTATTTTCGTTTGAAAAATATAGTGAATAGATAGATAGATATTTATTTACATCACCATATAATAGTGCAGTTGTTACAGCAGTTTCGTGTCTAATTATATTCTTTTTTTTGCAGATGTTCCTTATCTGACTGCGCCTAGAAAGGTAAATTCAATTTATTTACGACCTAAGTCAAAACCATACCATACCATAATAGTAGCAGGAAGGCGCTGTATGCAGAACTATCATTGGAGAAGGCCTATGTTCAGCAGTGGACGTGACTGAAATGATGATGAAGTCAAAAATTAAACCTTTCAGATATTTTTTTAATTTCTTACTATATTAATTTGCATGCATGTGCATTGTGCATCCTAAATTCATCTGTGCTTGTCTGTTTTATAAAGAATCACTAATTTTTGGTGTTTATCATTAATCAGCAATAGAATAAAATCTCGTTTGTGAACTTATTGATCATCCTGTATTTGCAGGTGGAAGCCCGCTACCACGAGCGAGTGGTGCTGACGTGTGGCGTAGAGAGTCTCGTACCGGTCACTGCGGCGTGGACGCACGGCTTCGAGAGAATACAGCCAAAGGTCTCTAGTCTGTGAGTATACTCTAATATTTGGTAGCGTTCGTTTCAGCCAAATGACGTCCACTGCTGGACAAAGGCCTCACTTAAGGATTTATGGATGATGATGGTCGTAGCCAGTCGTATCGAGGAATCGAGTTGACATTGCCATTTTTACGTTTGAAAATGTATGGGGGCGAGTTTTTTGGATGTCGCCACTTGAGGAGGGGCAGGTCTACTTACGAAATACAGCTGACCAGAGCAAGCGCAAAATCAGATGCAAACGTGCGGTGACCATGCGAGCTTGGACATTCGGTATTCGATTGCATTTACACTCATCGCGCAGCGTATCAACCTGTCGCCATGTAGTCAAACAGAAATTATCTGGTCTGACGCAGAATGTACAAAATAGTAAGTATAGAAAAGTGCTTATTTTGCGAAGTGCACATTTTGCGGCAGACCCAAATTATCATGTCTTGGTATACAAATAAAAAAAAATACAAAATCTCTTGTTGACTCGTTTCAGGCAAACTACATCAACGGACTACGTCATCGAGGATATGTCTCCGGAGTATGCGGGCGAATACCGCTGTGTAGCCACCAACGCGGCTGGGCAGAGCGTGGCCCACACTGAGATAGTACTTATAGGTACAGTACTTAACGTTAGACTATGAACGTAGTTGCAAAAATGCACGTACACGGCGTGATAAGTCGCGTCGAGACGACGACGTTCGAAAGTCGCTAGTGTGGGGGAGGCCTATGTCCAATGTTCAATGGACAAATAATGGATGGTTTCATTGGGCTCCGGCGGACTCTGTCACGCCCTTCTAGCAGCTAGATTCTCAGATAACCCACTATTCGTCTTCATCGGCCAGTCGATATGAACACAGCATTGCTTAGGACGAACTCACTCAATCGAGTTTGTTCTTTGTTCTGTAGTTTGCACCTTAGACTTTTGCTATAATCCTATTTCGTTACAAGACCCTAGGTGGTTTAAGTAGTATTCCAGGATAATTTTCCTTTACTAATCAATCATGGTAGCAATCCCGTCAATAATAATTATTTCATTTAGTTAGATTTAGTTGCAAATCAAGCTGCTGATCTATTGCTTAGGTGGATTACTTGTGATGTCTTTACGACTTCAGTGCTTATGTATACGACATAAGAGTGAAAATGCTATATTATGCGTTTCTTCATAGAAACTTTATGTCCACAGTGGACCCTCCACAAGTGACCGTGAGCCCCGGCAACCAAACGCTACAGTTCGGGGAGGAGTTGACGATATCCTGCCAAGTTTTTAGCGAGGCCTTGTTAATGAATATGCAAATGGTCTTCAAAGGGATGGATACAGATAGTAAGAAACTTTGTATTTATATTTCTTGGATTGTTCTAATTTCAACCAAGTGATTGAAAATATCGTATAGTGTTATGTCGGCATTTCATCAAGATTCGTTTTTCGGTTCTACTGAGTCAAAGTTGTATGTATTTTTATTACAATCTTTCAGTGACTGAAGTCTATGTGGAGCCAAATTTTAATGGTTTTTATTCCTACAACAAAACTATACCACACGTTGATGAGAACCACAATGGGGCGTATACCTGCATTGCTACTAACAGTGGTAAGTTATTGAACACTACATTACTTAATAGGCATAAAAAGTGCAAATTTTTTATTGTTATTAAACCTTAAGATAAGGGGATAAAGTTCAAAATATGGTGGGAACTATACTCCCACTACTGTATAAAGGGTTAACTGTGGTGTATTTTATCATAGTTTCCACACATATTTTTAGTTAAAAAACTAAAACTCATTAAAACTCATTTATTTCTGTAAATAGGCTTAAAAAAAGCACTTTACACGTCCCAGTATTAACCCTACCACTGCTTCAGGACAATAAATGGGCCAGTGCTGAGAAGAAGCAGCGAAATGCAACTTAAAAATCATCCTGAAAACATTAATGTTTTGTTCTTCTAGCTGGCCAAACCAAAGCTTCGATGAACATAACAGTGCAATCGGAGCCGATCGTTCAGATCCTCGGTCCTCACAGCATCAGGAGACTCCTGCATTCCGATATCCAACTCAGTTGCCACGTGGAGAATGCTGAGTTGATGCAGTGGGTAGCTCCTAATAAGAGTGTGGTGCTGGAAAATGTGGTGAATGGGAGCTATGATGGGATGTTCGAGGTTAAGAATGTCACTGGAGGCCCTTGGACATGTGTGGGGTTGAGAGGACCGTACAGAGGTAAGGACTGTGTGGCTGTTTTATTAGCTTTCCATTTTTTTTTGCAGCACATTCATTTTCTTCAGGATAACTTTTTAGTAGTAATAGAATAACCCCAAATTAATCTTGAATTTTCTTCCATAATTTCTTTTTACAACTACAGGCGCATAGCGCAAAACTGAGGAGAGTCCTTTATTAGTAGAGCGGTGCGGAAGGGGTGTGATTTTGTTATGTTTTGACTTCAGACTTCAGTGTTGTGAGACTTCAGACGTGCATTACTACAACATTATTACAACTCTGTTAGGTCACATATTATTATCATGGAGCAGTGAGCTTTTGACAAAAATGAAAAACTTGTTATGTAATAATGTAATAAAAACTACATTATCTTATTTTATTCCAGTTACTGACGCAATCGAAGTGGATATCCTAATAAAACCATCAGCTATTATTGAGGGTAGTAAGAACATTACCATTCTGAATGGGACTATTCTCGAGGTCACCTGTATGGTCACGGCCAGGCCGCCGCCAAGAATCATCTGGCACAGAGAAACTGAGAGCTTCCTCAATCACACTGTAAGATATTGTAGATATTTATTTGTAGGTTTTCATAATTGACTGGTTGTCTGTATTTTTTTACAGTACCCATTGAGCCGAAAAGTTACATTATGCTCATGGAATTTTGACCTTCTTTTCTCGCTGATTATTAATTGTTTAGTATGTAACTTCTTTGCAGAGCATTTTTAAACACGTCTCAAATATAGCTTATCCTACCAACGCTTCGAGATAGTATGTTGGCTGGTGCTAAGCAGAAGTGGCGGAAAAAATATCTTACATCTGAAGACCTTACATAAGAACCTTCACAAAATATGTCACTTGTTTTTCTTCAGATAACATCCATCAAAGACAATATTTACAAAAGCGTCTTGAAGCTTAACAGCTCGGAAGACGCAGTGGAAGCGACATATTTCTGCATCGGGGAGAACTCTGAGGGTATATCGGAAGACAGCATCGTGGTCAATGTACGCCGCAAGATGAGCTTGGTAGAGGGGTTTACTGGTGAGCTTTATTATCTATCGATTTAATTTCATCATCACCATCATCATTAAGTCATTTATCCCCTTTTTCACCATCAATCCCTAATATTTAAGTGATCCCTATGGTAAAAAATAACAGGTATTTTGTTTACATAGGGGTCACTTAAAAATTAGGGATTGATGGTGAAAACGGGCATTAGTCTCCAGTATATGACGACCCTCTCTAATTTATGTACCAGAAGCTAATGGAGGATTTGGCGTACACTTCCCACGCTTGCCAGATGGGTTGAGGAGGCCTGATGTTCGCAACTTTAACCTTAACATGATTTTTGGTTAAAATAGCAGCGATAGTAGTTTACTGATCTAAATCCTGGAATAGATTTATTACTTGTTGTTGGTTGTTTAGTTTTCATTTGTTCAGAATCAATTTGGAATATCAGCTGGTTACAGTAAAGATACTTAAAACCCTTGAATTTTTTGTATTGCCTCTATCATTTACCTTACGGCTGCTGGCAAGCTGAGGGTACTTTATTCATATTCGTTTTATACAAATGTAGTAAGTCAATACCTTATATTTTTGGTCACAGACAAATCAGTAGAAATATACTCCCAAGTGGATCTCCACTGTGAAATAGACGCTTACCCCGCCCCTCGTATCACCTGGCACCACAACGGGACGGAGTTGGTGTCAGACCACAACGTCCAGCTGTCAGACGACGGAACTGTCATGTACGTGCTGATGGTTGACTTTGACAACCTCGGAGAATACGCTTGCGAAGCTCAGAATGAGTACGAGAGGATGAGAGTAAATGGGACCTTAAGTGTTCGCGGATTGGGTAAGTTTTCGCTTGGCTTTTGGAACATCCTTTATTAAATAAATAAATAAATATCCTTGGACATTTACACTGCGCTTCTAGTCCCAAACTAAGCAAAGCTTGTACTATGGGTACTAGACAACGGATATAAACATACTTACATACTTTTTTTTTTTTAAATGTACATACTTATTATACATAGAAAACTCCCAGTCCAATACAAACAAATGTGTTCATGCACACAAATGTTTGTACTGTGCGGGAATCGAACCCGCTACCTCCGGAATAGTAGTTATTGTTGGTGTTTGTGTATTCCAAATACGCACGAGTTTGTTAAATATTTGGGGTTTAATGTTTTAGAATCGCCTGTCCTTTCAAAGGAACCAGCTAAAAGGATTGCCCGTAGTGGAGAGTCTACAATACTAACATGTAGGTGAGATTTTGTATTGCAATAAAGTTATAAGTTCTTTCGACAAAACCCATGATCGTTACGCTTTAAATATTTTTACTTGTCATTAACACTTTTTTACTGATTGAACGATAACTTCTAAAACATTGTTTTGGAGAGATGTCATATTTGTCTCCAATAGTATTGATTCTTCGTTCGTAAAGAGGCTAATTATTTTTACTGGACTAATATCACTTTATTCATTATCTTTTCAGAGTGCTTCAAGGCAAACCAGAGCCATTACTATCGTGGAAATTTAAAAGCGACTCCTCAGATGACTTCTCTGACCTCCCGTGGGCTGCAGAGTTGAGTGAGGATAGCACGAATTTGACGATACCGTCTGTTAAAGTCGATTACGATGGGATATATCGGTGTGTCGCAGAAAATGTTGTGGGGAGAGACGCGTATGAAGTAGAGTTGGTGGTTCAATGTAAGTAGAGAGGATATAAAGTATGTTTTAAAATGAAGTAGTTTGCTATGTTATTATAGGTAAAGAGCTATTAGGTTTACGGGATTTATCCCCCATACGTCGTACTGGCGTCGCGTCAGAGGGCTTAGTGTGAGTTTACATCAAGTTTTTGAAAGTTTTAGCTAGGGTCGCTGTACAATCCGTCTACATTTAATGACATTTTGTTACGCAGTCACTAGTGAAGACGTTTGATTTAAACTCATACTAAGCCCTCAGAGGAGCGGCAACGCAACGTTTTCATTGGCGCCGCATAGTCGATGCGGCGCCAATGAAAACGTTGCGTTGCCGCTTGCGTAGACGTTGGCAAGACGACAAAATTTGAAAGACGTTCATGTGGGGCAGCGCAGGCCTATGAATTTGATATTTACGGTAGCTTGTGAATAATGGACATTTCAATCCCATATATTATAGCTGTCTGAAATAAACTCCTTTTTATTCTCCACAGATCCTCCACGCCTCATAGACCTATCGAACGAAACGGAAACAGTCACAAAACCAGTGAACATAAAGGCTGGAGGCAACGTGACGTTCTCGTGCAAAGCCGTGGGCGTCCCGCCGCCTATCGTGGTGTGGACCAAGAATAACCGACAGCTGGCCTATACGAACACTGTGTGAGTACGTGTGTTTATTGTTTTTGAGGATTCCGTGGTTAAAAAGGAGTTTTTATAGTTTTACTATTACTGTACGCTTAGCTCAGAAACTCTTGGTGCTAGAAAGCTGAAATTAGATACGATATATTTAGCGTATTTTCTTTGAATGCCGTATTTACCTGAAAAGGCATATCTTTTAGATTCTAGCTTTCTAATAATGTAACGATGCATGTAAATTGATATGTTGTTGGTAAATCTTTAACAATAAATAAATAAATATGCCTTCAAAGTGGTAAATAAAGTTTTTAGGAACTGCTCTATCTGTGAAGGGGGAAAAATACTTTTGGGAACGGGATGAACGTGGTAAAAATTTGAGACAAGTATCATAAAATAGGTGTGACGAAGTTTTTTACTGACTAAAACGGGAACTGAATTAAGTGTTTAAGGATACTACACTGGTCGTGCATTTNATGCATTTGGCTGCTCTTTTACTTTGATACTTGTAGTTACACAATGAGTTTCATGTGCGTATTCGAAAATAATCCATAAACTGTTGCAGGTACTTGTCGAACTCGAACGATTTAGTGATTGAAAAGGCGAACGAATTCGACTCAGGATTGTACACGTGCAACGCTACCAGCACTTTGGGTTCTTCGCAGAAGAACTTCACACTGTTCGTGTATGGTAAGAAAATTGTTTTAACTGCATAATTATAATTATTTTTGTATTTGACTTGACCTTAGTCTCTGATAACGCAAGCACGAGTCTCAGGAGTTTGTTTTTTTAGCTTCATAAAAACACTCCACAGAGGTTAGTGAATATTTCAAGAAAAAAATTGCTGAGAAAGTTTGGTTCTCGATAAAATTTTATTACAAAAACCTAAATTTCTAATCAAATCTTCATAATTTTCCATCCAGATCGAATGATAGGCTCAATTTACAGTTTTACACTGAAATGGCAGCAGGAGGTAGCGAGTCGCTTCGCTACTACATGACCTGCTACGAATCCCTAGCAGGTCATGTAGTGTAGCGGCGTTATATTTTCTATCAATTTTGTTGATATTGCACATAAAGTTTATAATATCTTTGTCATATAAACTGTTCACCTTATCACTGCCATACTGACCATCGGTTTTCTCTTGTTTCTCCCAGTCTCCCCCTCAATATCTTCTCCACCATTAGAGCCTGTAACGCACGTATCCGAGGGCCAATTAGTGCAGTTGCCGTGCCGTGTCCAAGGCCTGCCCGCGCCGCGTGTCCGTTGGCTACGAGGCGGAGAAGATGTAACCGACTCAAGGAAACTTGTGGACGAATATGGTATAAGGTAGGATACTTTAATAGAATTAGCAGGTTAATGTTGTGTTTTTAACCCTAAGGAGCTGCGCAAAGGAAGACACTGCTACAGACGCGGCACACCATTACAAGTCTTTGTAAGATATCAGTAGAGGCGTAGTTACCGCTGTTTCAGCTGTGTCAATTATAAGGATCCTGGGCTACAGGGGCCTCCAATGCCGGGTCAACCATTCGACAGAGTAAGCAATTGCCTATAAGCACTAGGTTTTTAAGAAACTTACCAAGGCACCGGGATTGAGGGGGGATCTCGTCTGCCAAAGCTGGCGCGTAAAAGCTATACTCGACTGAATCAGGAGTACGGATTCAAGTAGGTGACGTCATCATGTCATCAGTCCCCCCTCAATATCTTTTTAACCCTAAGGAGTTGGAAGAAGAGCGAAAGGAAGACACTTTTTGCTACTGACGAGGCACACTATCACAGGAAACCCAGTCGTATGATATCAAGTGGAAGCAACTGTACGCAGAAAGTGTCTACGTCTTCGCAGCCTCTAAGCAAGCTATAGTCGATTGGAAGACATTTTTCGCCGAGTACATAATCAGGTAGGCGACGTCATCAGGTTGTCAGTCTTCCCTCAATATCCCCTCCACCATTAGAGCCAGTAGCGCACGTGTCCGAGGGCCAATTAGTGCAGTTGCCGTGCCATGTCCAAGGCCTGCCCGCGCCGCCAGTCCGTTGGCTACGAAGCGGAGAAGATTTAACCTACTCAAGGAAGCTTGTGGACGAATATGGTATTAGGTAAGACACACTAAGGCTGTAAGGCTTAATAAGTCAATCAAGTTCATTGCCAATTATTTTAGGTTCATAATTATGCGCGTGCGCTGGTTAGGTGACAAAGCGCTATTGCCGAAAGTAAAGTTCGCAGACACAGCTTATAGTGTCAGGAGCAGAAAAGTACTCAAGTTGCGACCACGGATCGCGAAAAGTAAGCAGACCTCCCGCGCGATGGAATGACAATGTAGTGAAGTTTGTGGAGAGCATCTGGATGCGGCAGTACAGGGCTGGTTGTTGTGGAAATCCTTGGGGGGACCTTTGTCCAGCACTGCACTATGTCGTTGAAATGAATAGGGCAAGCAAGTTGATTTTTTTTAATTGTTTTTGGACCTTATAACCAGACAATAAAGTTCAAATTGATGGGATTACTATATTGCTAACTGCGTGTTCATGATAACTTCTATTGTAAACTGATACCTGTTACGCAAATTGCAGATTCATAGCAAACGTCACAGATTTCGGCGAATACACGTGTCTTGTTGAAAACGACTTCGGCAACGCATCTGTATCGTTCCCGTTATATGTTTGGGGTAAGGTTCTCAAAGATTTATTATATGCTTCACTTTATTTTTTTTTATTTTTTTTTATGCATAACAAGGCAGGTATTTGACCACAATCGCACCTGATGTTAAGTGGGATGCGGTCTAGGATGGTACATATCTGCCCTGTAAGTGCCTATTCACTCTCGCCTTGAAAAGGCCCGGATTATAGTTTTCGGGAAAGACAACGAATTCCAGTCCCTAGCTGTTCGCATTATAAAAGAGTCATCGAAACGCTTAGTGCGAGCTGGTGGAATGAAATTACACACACCTAACATTTCTTCTATCTAAAAGTCGTGTGATTTTAGTTCCCCCTTCAATCCATCCCTTGGAGTCGACGAAACATGTACTCGCTGGCTCTAATGCCACTCTCCAATGCGATGCTATGGGGTTCCCCATACCAAACATAGTATGGGAGTTCCATGATGAAATCCTTATAGAAAACACCACCGATTTAAGGTATGTTTCAGAGGTATAATATAAAGGGATATTCACATCACTGCAGGATGTGTAAATCAAGAGTGTCCTAGTAATGTTATTTATTTGTGTTTTCAGCTTTAATGATATTGGGAACCTGTTTATAACAAATGTAAGCTCGAAACACGAAGGTTCTTACGCCTGCGAAGCGGGAAACATCGCAGGAAACGACAAGAAGTTCATTTATTTACATGTAAACGGTAAGTTTAAACTTTACAATCATATTAAATAGTAAAAAAATAGTTTATTTCCGCAAATGTTTGGTCACAATTTATGTTTCCCTTTTCGGAAATGACTCCTATGCGCTATATTTTCAGAACCTCCAAAAATCTTGGATCAAGAATTTTCAGGCCCGTATTTAGCAACGAACATGGATACTGAGTTGGTTATCTCATGCAAAGCGTCAGGGAAACCTAAACCTTACGTGCTGTGGAGTAAAGACGAAATACTCTTGGACAATGGTAAGAAGTAAGCCAGTTATAGTCTGGTCCGGGAGCACGTAGAATTTTGTCCAATGACCCCAAGCTACCCATCCTTATCGCTCGCGCGTAATTATGTTGCTGTCACGCTCGCACACTCACTGCGGGCGCCCATCGCACAGTCGCGACAGCAATATAATTACGCGCGAGCGATAAGGATGGGTATCTTGGGGTCATTGGACAAAATTCTACGTGCTCCCGGACCAGACTATAGAAGCTTTTTTCAATTGGATTGAGTAATTTTCCCATGCTTGTTGCAGATGAGACTTACAAAATAGATTTCGATGGAACATTGACTATAAAGTCGCCAACCGAAGAACTTAGTGGGCAATATATTTGCATTGCGAAGAACGCAGTTGGCGAAACTAACCACACTATCTCTGTTGAGATTTACTGTAAGTAGCTATCATTTCATTATTCAAAACATCCCCTGAAAACTAACCCTGTCCAAAAACTGTATCGATATATCCTTAGTTATTTTGCTGATGCTGAATGCGGAATTCGTATTCAAGAATCAGGATTGTGTCGTAAAAATCTTATGTCAGATAGCGTAATAGATAAAGCCGGGTCCGTGAGCACGTAGAATTACGCGCGAGCGATAAGGATGGGTAGCTTGGGGTCATTGGACGGGATTCTACGTGCTCCCGGACCAGACTATAGAAGCTTTTTTCAATTATTTATTTTGACCTGTAATGACTTATTATTGTATTGTTTTAGCTTTACTAACGCGAACGCAGTCTGAAGAATCTCACACCAAAGTGACGTTATTGGAAGGCACCAACGCCAGCGTCGAGTGCCCGGTGCCTGCTTCTAGCAAGGATCTAGTGAAATGGTATAAGGTTCGACGTTGTACTAAACATTTATATTGATATCCCTAAAGAATTTGCTTCGGTACTTCGTTCGTTCGTTTCAGCCAAATGACGTCCACAGCTGGACAAATGCCTCCCCCAAGGATTTCCACAACTACCGGTCCTGGCCACCCGCAACCAGGCACCTCCCGCGACCTTCACCAGATCGTCGGTCCACCTAGTGGGGGTAGCTTTGGTACTTACTGATTATGTATAGTACAAAAGTTCCAGATACACAGCATTTGAAAGAGGCCTATTCAATCTCGCCTTGACAAAAATACACAACATTGAAAAGAAAAAAAACTGCCTTAATTCATTATGCTTAATGTTCTCATATCACATCAATGAGGGCTATCGTTTTAGCGCTCACCAGTTTGCGCCACTGTAGAGTAAGGTCCTGTCACTTGCTAGTAGCGAAGACAGTGGCACCAACTGGTGCTAAAGTGGTAGGAGGACTATCGCATTTGCACTCATCAAGATGGCACCACTGTAGAGTAAGGTCCTGTCAATCGCCAGGGGTGCCAACTGTTAAGTATAAAAACGATAGCCCTCATTGGTTGTAATTTTGTTCTAGGGCGCAAAGCTGATTTCAGAAGGCGTGCTCCAAATAGCCAACGTGTCCCGCCAAAACACCTCCGAGCTTGCATGCGTAGTCACCAATGTAGCTGGCTCTGCATATGCCAGTATCAGTCTTGACGTGGAATGGGCACCGGCGTTTAAGGATAAAGGATACACAGACGTGGAAGTTGTGAGAGGAAACGATTGGTACTTCGACTGCGCTGTAGACGCAAAGCCCAGGGCGAAGGTATGTTTTGTTTTTGCTCTTCAATACTTCTCTTAATAAGGCACTAGTGTGTACAAGTTGGGTCGGACCTACTCGTTCGTTCGTTCGATTCAGCCGAATGACATCCACTGCTGGACAAAGGCCTCCTCCAAGGTTTTCCACAATGAACGGTATTTCGCTGCCCGCATCCAGGCTCTTCCCGCGACCTTCACCAGATCGTCGGTCCACCTAGTAGGAGGCCTGCCCACGCTACGTCTTCCAGCCCGTGGTCGCCACTCGAGAACTTTCTGCCCCAACTGCCATCGTCTCTACGAGCTATGTGCCCCGCCCACTGCCACTTGATTTTAGCAATTCTGTGAGCTATGTCGGTCACTTTGCCGTACTCCATCTCTTCCTCTGATACTCTACTGTCGCTGGTATGTGTGGTGGTGACCAATGTAGGCGGCTCCGCTTATGTCAGGGTCAGTTTAGACGTGGAATGGGCTCCGACGTTTGAGTATAAAGGAAACAGAGGTTGAGGTCGTGAGAGGAAATGATTGGTACTTCGACTGCGCTGTAGACGCCAAGCCAAGAGCCAAGGTTTGACATTTTTTCTCACACTAAAGGGAAACGCCGAGCATAGCACGCTCCTTTGCCCATAGGGTGAACCTTCTTTATTGAACCTCCTTATGAGACCCATAGTAAGCGACCACGTCTCAGATCCGTGTGTCATCACTGGCAACACACTGATCTGCGTGATCGAATCAGAAATGAGGAGATCCGCAAGAGAACCAAAACGTCTGACATAGCCCACAGAATTGCTATTAAAATAAATTTTATATGTAAAAGTCATGTTTATGTGATTGCAGACCAAATGGCTATTCAACTCGAAGCTGATAGTGTTCGAGGACAAAGAGCGGCTGAAGCTCCTAAATGTCCAGCTGCGACACACCGGTACATATAAATGCATCGTCAGCAACAAACACGCTACTGTGTCTAGGCAGTTCACTCTGGATGTTTTAGGTAAATAAAGTTTTTTTTTTCATTTATTTCTGTAAATAGGCTTAAAAAAAGCACTTATATTTTATAGGACATACGATATCTATAGGGTGGAAACGATAAATGATCTCACTCGATTATTTCTAACCTATACAAGATATCGAAAAACTGGTTACTGACCCTGAAAGTGCTTCACTAGCTTTTTTAACGGTATCAATAATAGGTAACAGAATAAACGGGATCTATGCGAAAATTCAATGAAAATTCGAATGAGAAAGAACCCTGCTTAAAGATTCATTTAATCTTTACTTTCGAGTTCCATTGCCACGAATAAAAATTAAGAACATATTGTGGTTTCTTCCAGTTCCTCCTTTCATATCCGAGTTTGATCTGTTGGACGTGCAGCTGAAAGAAGGCACCAACGCTACTCTGGAGTGCAACGCCAAGGGCTCACCTCAGCCTGACGTCAAGTGGACTTATAAGTACGTAAAATGACATTAAAATGCTTGTAGAATTATAGCTTGTACTCACTGAAGTATAGATCGTTTCATCCACGAAGACGCGCCCCACCACTTTTTGGGCGAGGGAAGCGCGGGGTGCGGGGAGTTTCGTAATATAATCTCTTCGTCAGAGATTGCAGTCACTTACAATATTCTGTGTTCATGTAAGGCTGCCCTTCAGGGCTGCTCTAATTCGTTTTAATTTATTTATTTCCATGCCCAACGCCGCCAATTATTAAATAATACAGCATTCCGCTGGAGACATCATCCATAGACATGACAGTAGCCATGACTGCACACGCAGACTACAATAATGACGTTCTGATTGCTCGAATCAAACCCCCTTCACTATGCGCTTCCCTCAACCAAAAAGTGGTGGGGCTATGGCTAGGTATCTTGTACCTACTTAAAAATAATGCAACAATGTCCAGCAGTCCTAAGTTTTAAGCTAGCATAAGTTTAAACTAAAAAGAACTCTATTAATTACCAACAGCAACTCAAACTGGCAAGTCCAAAACTCGTCTCTTGTCAGCACGGGCCTGACCGAGGCTTCCGAAGGCCTATACCGTTGTGACGCGGCCAACAAGGCAGGAACTGCGCACATTGTGTATAGAGTGAGTGTGGTGGCCGCAGCCAGAATAACGGAGGTCGTGCTTTATAATGGAGAGGCTACTACGGTGGACAAAGTAGCTGAAGTCGTGGTGAGTTTCTTTTCTAGCGATTAGTCGTACACTTTCAGGATCAAATGCATGCACAGCCTCCTTGGATGACAAGAATAGTGAGAGAGAAACGACGGGGTGTTACCGTTTTAGTGGTTTTCTTCAAATCTACGATTGAGTGAAACTTCGAGTAGGACACCCAAAACTCATCAGCACCATAGTATATTTTTATCAGCATCTTATTAAACCTGCTGAAAAATAGTGCTTTATACCATTTTTCTGGAAAAATATTTTCATTTCATTGCATTATATTGAAACATACCTCATCATCTTTCAGGAAGGCACAAGCGCAAGAATATCCTGCAAAGCATCAGGCAAGCCTGTACCAAAGATTCAATGGATACGAAACGGCGAAGCGATCGGCGAAAACGATGAGAGCATAAGCTACGCAGACTTAGTTCTAAAGGATGTGAAACTGAATGACGCCGGCGTGTATGCATGCGTGGCGTCTAATGAGGGAGGAGTGGCTGAAGAGAAAATTCGGTTGGAGGTGTTAGGTAGGAGTTCATTTAATTTCCAAAATAATATAACTAACCCACAAGGACAGACGACCTCAAGAAAGGCGCTGGATGCAGGCCGCTACCAATCAGGTGATGTGGAAATCATTGACGGAGGCCTATGTTCAGCAATAAACGTCTTGTGGCTGAAATGATGAGATGATGAATTAATGGGAGCGGTAGCTCGGCAGTTTTTTCCGTGTTAACAATGGACACGTTGAAAGACCACATTTTTCTACATTTAAGCAACGTGTAAAGTCAAGTTTTTTTTGACAAAAAGGCAGAAGTGCAATTTACCAATATACGAGTAACTATTGGATTAACATAAACTTTTGCAACTTAATCATGTCACTCTGTAATTATTATCAGATTTAGGATCATGCACGCACATACAGTCGTGGTCAACTAATTAGGGACAGATAGAATACTAAGCAATACTAAGTGTTCATATCCTATTATTGTGAGCTTCATTCAATATTACTGACTGTTATTTTGTAAACATATTGACTATCAAGTACTCTATTTAACAGAATACAATAACAACAAAAAAACTTACTAATTTNATCGCTCGCGCGTAATTATATTGCTGTCGCGACTGTGCGACGGGCGCCCGCAGTGAGTGTGCGAGCGCGACAGCAATATAATTACGCGCGAGCGATAAGGATGGGTAGCTTGGGGTCATTGGACAAAATTCTACGTGCTCAAGGACCAGGCTTTAGTTAGACTATGCATTGTTGTTTGATAAATTGCACGTATTAAAGTAACACAACACTATGGTTGTTACGTAACACAACAGTTTGATAAGTCGCGTCAAAACGACGTTCTAAAGACACTAGTCTGGGGGAGGCCTATGACCAATGTTCAATAGACAATAACTCACAGCTCCGTTTCATTGGGCTCCGGTGGACACCGTCATGTTTTTAAGCTCCGCCCTTCTAGCGGGGAGAGTCTCACATAACCCACTAGTCGTCCCCATCGGCCAGTGGTTATGTGCACAACATTACGATACTTATAACGAACTCAATCGAGTACATACTCAACTCTGTAGTTTGCACCTTAGACTTTTGCTATAATGCGATTTCGTTACGAGACATGATAGTTTAAGTAGTTTTCCAGGACAATTTACCTTTACTAGTTAGATTTAATCAAGCATGGTAGCAATCCCATCAATAATATTATTTCATTTAGTTAGATTTAGTTGCAAATCAAGCTTCTGATATACTGCTATGGTGGATAACTTGTAGTGTCTACGACTTCAGTGCTTATGCATACGACATAAGAGTGAAAATCCTATATGCGTTTCTTCATAGAAACTTTATGTCCACAGTGGACCCTCCACAAGTGACCGTGAGCCCCGGCAACCAAACGCTACAGTTGGGGGATGAGTTGACGATATCCTGCCAAGTTTTTAGCGAGGCATTGTTAATGAACATGCAAATGGCCTTCAAAGGGATGGATACAGATAGTAAGAAACTTTGTATTTATATTAATAAGTAAATAAATATCCTTGGACATTTACACTGCGCTTCTAGTCCCAAACTAAGCAAAGCTTGTACTATGGGTACTAGACAACGGATATAAACATACTTAAATACTTTTTTTTGTAAATACAATTATTTCTTGGATTGTTCTAATTGCAACCAAGTGATTGAAAATATCGTATAGTGTTATGTCGGTATTTCATCAAGATTCGTTTTTCGGTTCTACTGAGACAAAGTTGTATGTATTTTTATTACAATCTTTCAGTGACTGAAGTCTATGTGGAGCCAAATTTTGATGGTTTTTATTTCTACAACAAAACTATATCGCACGTTGATGAGAACCACAATGGGGTGTATACCTGCATTGCTAGTAATAGTGGTAAGTTATTGAGCACTCCATTATTTAACGGGCATAACAAGCTAAAATTTTTTATTGTTTTTGGACCTTTGCTAAGGGGACAAAATATGGTGAGAACTATATTTCCACTGCTGTATAAAGGGTTAACTGTGGTGTGTTTTATCATAGTTTCCACACATATTTTTAGTGGAAATGCAACTTCAAATCATCCTCAAAATATTAATGTTTTGTTCTTCTAGCTGGCCAAACCAAAGCGTCAATGAACATAACATTTTTAGTGGAAATGCAACTTCAAATCATCCTCAAAATATTAATGTTTTGTTCTTCTAGCTGGCCAAACCAAAGCGTCGATGAACATAACAGTGCAATCGGAGCCGATCGTTCAGATCCTCGGTCCTCACAGCATCAGGAGACTCCTCCATTCCGATATCCAACTCAGTTGTCACGTGGAGAATGCTGAGTTGATGCAGTGGGTAGCTCCTAATAAGAGTGTGGTGGTGGAAAATGTGGTTAATGGCAGCTATGACGGGATGTTCGAGGTTAAGAATATCACTGGAGGACCATGGACTTGTGTGGGGTTGAGAGGACCGTACAAAGGTAAGGACTATCCGGTTGTTGGATTAACTGGCCACTTAGCACAATAATTACCTATCTTCGAGATAACTTTTTAGTGGTCTGGATTGCGGTACATTCTATAGGTAACCATTCATGGGGCGAGTCAATGGGGATAAGTGGAATAACCCCAATTATAGATCGTTTCATTTACGAAGACGCGCCCCACCATTCTTCCGCTAATGTTTGAGTGTTATCGGTACACGCTAAATTATCCATAACTGCACACGCACAATACAATAATATGTGATGCTCGGATCAAACTCCACGCACCCCGCGCTTTCCTCGACCAAAAAGTGATGGGGCACGTCTTCGTAGATGAAACGATCTATACCACACTACACAATTATTAGCGCATAGCATATCTGAGTAGGGTCCTGCTGTGTGCTAGTGAAGTGGTAATGAAGAGGTGTGCTTATGTTACGTCAAATGCTGCGAGACTTTAATCTTTGACAGATCAGTTACGTCACATGCTACTCCTGCACCGCTTCATTACCTCAAGAACTTACTTAATTATGCGCCTGTCCATGGTCAACTTGATAACATCAAAAATGATCACATTTATTTTATTCCAGTTACCGACGCAATCGAAGTGGATATCCTAATAAAACCATCGGCTATTATTGAGGGTAGTAAGAACATTACCATTATGAATGGGACTATTCTCGAGGTCACCTGTATGGTCACGGCCAGGCCGCCGCCAAGAATCATCTGGCACAGAGAAACTGAAAGCTTCCTCAATCACACTGTAAGACTTATTTAAGTTACTACTTGTAGGTTTTCATAATAAAGTTGTCTGGCTGTATTTTTTATCTTGTCTTCGCTTGGGCACAAATCGTCTGTCAGCAGCAGTGGCAGTACAAACTACGTTCAGGCAGGCCTGTTCATCTCAGCGAGTTTACATCGAAAACAAAACACGCACGATGGCCCACCTACAGGATACTATTCGACAAGGCCTCACATACGAGCGAACATTGACTCACGCACGCGTATTCTTGTGTATAATGGAAGAAAATAAAAAAAATGGTGTACTAAATACTGTGCAGTATTTAACTGCCTAAATAATAATAAAAACACAGAATGTACTTTTTTACGTTGCCTCAAGACACTGAGAGGTAAATAAGTAGTTAATATTATCCATGATAATTCATGCTAAATCATGTATTTCCTTCGCCATTTTCCGCATTTTGGCACCTCACGTCACATCATTTTACCGAAGTCAGCCCTATAGCTTCGGCGCAGTGCCGATCACTGACGTAATTGTCAACAAAATGGTGCTTGACTCTTGAGACAGGCTAAATTACACCATATTGTTAATGACATTGAGCATACATTTTTTTAAATACCTTCGTGAAGTAAAACTTTTGTACGTAGTACTTATTATTATTCTGTGGTTCAGGCAACAATAGCCCAATAATATCGATGTCGGACTGTCGATTCCGTACATGCCAAGGGTCGATAGACCATATCATGACGCCGCTGGTGGTAAACCATTAATTTACCTTACCTTAGTCGCCATAAGAACAAATGTTAACAGCATTGTTGTTACGTTCCGGCAGTTAGAGGTAAGATAGCCAGTTCTTCTGTGGTTGAGAATTCCGGGTGAAGCTCGCTTCCACCCATTTCAGCCTGATCATCACCATCAAGCTCCGAGTTCTTTAATGTCTCCAAGCAACGTCAGCCTCTTATTTATTACAAAAAATACTATTTACATGATTTAATTTTTTTCTTCAGATAACATCCATCAAAGAGAACGTTTACAAAAGCGTCTTAAAGCTCAACAGCTCGGAAGACGCAGTGAAAGCGACATATTTCTGCATCGGGGAGAACTCTGAGGGTATATCGGAAGACAGCATCGTGGTCAATGTACGCCGCAAGATGAGCTTGGTAGAGGGGTTTACTGGTAAGCTGCATCTTGTAATATGGATTGATGAAATTAAATCTATGGAGATTTAATTTCATCATCATCATCATCATCAGGTCATTTAGTCTCCAGTGCATGACGACCCTCTTTAATTTACCAGAAGCTAATGAAGGATTTGGCGAACACTCTCCATGCTTGTAAGATGGGTTGAGGAGGCCTGATGTTCGCAACCTATTTAACAGATTTCTGACGAAAACCTGGAATAAATGTATCACTTGTTAGTTCCTGCCTTAGGCTGACAGGCTGAGTTGCACCACCGAATTTTGACCGTAACTATAACGATAACCGGTGTTTTTTGTATGGAGTTTGACAGATTTTTGACTTTGTTAATGTAAGATGGTGCAACCCAGCCTTATTTTTCATTTGTTTTGAATTACTCTTTTATTCGTATTCGTCTTATACATAAAAATCACACGTCAGCCACGTCACAAGACCTTTCTTTACTGTTCACAGACAAATCAGTAGAAATATACTCCCAAGTGGATCTCCACTGTGAAATAGACGGCTACCCCGCCCCTCGTATCACCTGGCACCACAACGGGACGGAGTTGGTGTCAGACCACAACGTCCAGCTGTCAGACGACGGAACTGTCATGTACGTGCTGATGGTTGACTTTGACAACCT